TTCATTTTCTGGGATGCAAAAGTATTAAGAGAAAGCTTATTGCTACTTTTCAGTAAATAGTTGCTATGATCAAAACCCAGTAAGAACCAACATAAAGGAGGAAAGATTCACTTATGGCTCATGTTTGAGAGTAAAATTCGTCACAATGATAGAGAAGGCACCGCAACAGGAGCAGGAGGTGGTTGTCCACATCAGGCAGGATGGGAAAGGGAAACCAGGAAGCTTGGCATTCTGCTGGCTTTCTCCATTTAATCCCTTTTAATTCATCTCAGGACTCCAGTGCATGGGACAATGCCACGGACATTTATAGTCGGTTTTTCTCACTCAGTTAACTGTCTTGGAAATGTCCTCACAGATGAATTTAAAGATAGGGGTGATGAAATTTCCCAGATATTTATTAATTCATTTAAGTTGACAATGAAGAGAACCATAACAAAAAGTCAGGACAAATATCCCATTCTTCCTCTTACTTATGAGTTTTCAAAATAATAATTTGATTTTCTGACATTTTTCAACAATAAACAGTCAATTTTCTTCTTAGACTCATCATGGACATGAGAACACTTTCATGTTTTAATATGTCCAGTGAGCATTCATAGTGATGCTGTGGCTGTCCTGTGGTTATCCACTAGGATCTGAGCCATGCTGGTTTCTTTGTCTCTGGCTTCAACTTAACAGTTCATTTGCAGTTTTCTAACTTCCTAAGGTAATCATACAAGTCTTCTACTTCAGCCTCCAACACATCCTTTTCTCCTCCTATTTTCTAATTATTTGACAGAGAACTGATAATCTAGAGATCATGGTGTGAGTGGATCCTGGATGACTGTGGCTACTGAATTGCACACTGCTGTCAAGTCATTTCAGTGGGCTCTGGCCACACTGAATCCTCCTCATCTTTAAGTGTCAGTGAGATAGAATGTATGCTTTGTGAACACATCCAACCCAAAGATATGGCACAGTGGTTGGAAATGTATGGAAAAACTATCGGGGGCCAGGGTGGATTGAGGTTTTCTCAGAGGCTCCGATGAAAAGACAAAGAGAACTCCCTTTCTATGTCCCTACCCAGACTAGGTATGATCTGGGGATGGTTCCAGGACCTTGAAGGATTAAAGTTTTTGGTTCATGGGAAACCAGCTTTCCCTTCTTAAAGGCTGTGGTTATTAGTCCTAAGGCAGTTGTGTCTGAGTTCTGTTTTCTCTTTGCTAATGTAATTTAATTGAGCTTTCTGATGATCTTGGCCCATTTTTCTCCCTGCAAAGAGTATATAAAAGCTACACTTCTTAATATACTTACTTGGCATAAGTCATCAGTGTATGTAAGACCTCCTAGTCTTAGCTGTGTTCTTTATTTTCTCATCTCTGGTCTACCCACCTTGACACTTTGCCCTTTGAGACTTTTATCTTGTGGGTTCAGGTCAGGAAACCAAACAGAGGTTCCATTCCTGAGTGCTATAACAGATGGAGCTACAAGAACTTGGTACAATGAATTTAGGGTCTGGTTGGCTGAAAGAAGAGAAAACTAGGGAATTTCTACTGACGAGGTAGTTTTATATCACAATGAGAGGATAGGGGAAGCAAATCAAAGTCAAAAGGATAGGCAATGTCATAATAAAAGATATATTTAGAAAGGAGTTTCATGGTGTCTGTATATTCTTTGGGTGGCTAGAATTAGAAAGGTTACATACATATTATTTCAATATTGAGCAAATATAGAGTACTGTGGTCCCGAATTAGAGCGGGAGCCCATGAGATTTTTTGAGAAGTTAGTAGGAGCACCCTAAAAGTACTGAGTGTATCTCATGGAGCAATAGGAAAAGTACAAGATTTCTGGCCAGTCTAGGGAACCCAAGCAAGAGTAGCTATGTAGGAAAAAGTAAGACTTTGTGAGGAATACAAAGAATCAGTTTTGGGATATGATCATTTTAAGAAGCTTACATGTATGTAAGCAGAATAAAATTAAGTGTCTGAAGATAGAATTTGGCTAACATGTGGAAGAATCTCATTATGCCTCTCAAATAACCTGGCTCATTCTGGGCAGCCAGACTAAATGCAAACATTTATGTGCCTCTCATTTCTTTGAGTCATGGCTAAAATTTATTATTCTGGTTGACATTAGGCTAAGAGTTAATATTTTGTCCCCTTGTTGGTTAGCAAGCTACACTACATGTTGGCTATCTGACTCTACTGGCGAGTTAAATGACTCACAGTTACATCATTTCTCATGGGTATTTATGTAAGAGACGGAGGCCCAGAAGACAGCACAGATGGCTAGATATCCACAGGGGGAGAGAAGTAATGAAAAATCGAGAAAACAGTGCTTGTAAGGCTTCCATCAGATTCCCAGCAAACACAACATATTCAGAGATGGAGAAGTTTGATTGTATGATGAGTGACACCCCAGAGATACTTAGGAGCCCTGAATGATACCACTGCAAGCTCTATAGGGACAGTTGCTATATATAATACCTTCTTGATGTTGTAGAGAATCTGGGCTGGAGTTGGAACTCAGAACCTTGAATGGTTCCTTCAAACAACTCCCTATAGCACCCTCCAATGCCCAGTGCTATTTACTTACGTTTATATATCTATAGATTAGTCACTTAAATGTAAAGAAAGGAGTTTCTCTATGTAAAGGACAATAAATGAACAGTAGGAAAGGGATGTCAAAGCTGAAAGACCTCACAAAAATGTGGAACACTAATAGTATAGTCATTTCAGCCAAAGTGGCAAAAGTTAATAACTACTGTGAAAGTGTGCCAGATTAGCATGGTGCTCAACTTGAGGATAGATACTTTTAGAAAGCCAGGGGGAAAACCCCTTTAAAAAAGTGACATTTTGACGTATAATGCTGACAACAGAAGACATACAGATAAAATGGGGACAATTACAAGCACTGCAACATTAGTATGTAGCTGGTCTGGAGTTCTCCATTGAGACTAGGCTAGCCTTGAACTTGAAGAGATTCACTTGGCCCTGCCTCTTGAGCACCAGGAATGAGGGTGTGCATTGTCACATCAATTCACAAAGCACCTAATACTAATATCCTGTGTGAATCCCAGCAAGCTAGCTACCTGATTCCCACAGCAAAGCCATGCAGGGACAGTTCCTGAATGAGGCCAGGCTAGGATCATGTGGATATTGGTATTAATAAGCCCTAATTTGTAGTCACAGAGGAGCCAGACATGGCTTTCCCTGTACCTCCTTTGTGTCTTTATCTCAAATCCCATGTCTCTACCTGATTATTTTTCTTTCTTTTCTGTTTGTTTGCTGGTTTGTTTGTTTATTTAACCTTTTCTTGATTCTTTGTGAGTTTCACATCATACACCTCAGTCCTGCTCATCTCCCTGTCCCCTCATATCTACCCTTCAGCTCTTGTAGCCTCACACACACACACACACACACACACACACACACACACACCACTACCACCACCACCAACAACAACAACGACAATGACAACAACAACAACAACAAAGCATAGAAAACATCTCATCCTAAAACCTACAGTGTGTCACAGTGTGTCTACAGTATGTTCCTCTGTCCACACCTCTTCACTTGCAAATGTTCATCGCAATAAGCCATGGGTCTTATTCAAGATCTCCGGCTTCTGTGACACCATCAATATGAAATCCCTACTGGGCCTCCTCCCATTTATCCTGTTGTTGTCCTACATCTCAGAGATCTTAAAACTTCGTACCAGTAGGACTGGCCCTTTCACGAGTCTCACCTATTTGCAAATGACATAGATTTAGGAATAGGTCAATTTAGAGCCCTGGATCTGGACCTGGGTGGTAGTTAAAGTGATCAGCATGATGGTTCTCCCTTATCGGCATAACCAAGACATCTTTCCAGCACTGTACCAGCTAGGCCACTCAATGCCATCACCAGGAGGCAGGGTCAACTCTCCTGGTCTCTTGCCCTTGGGCCAGCTCACTCAGCACCTATGCCTCCAGGGCCAGCTCCATTGTATTGCCCAGGGGAGGTGGAGGACTTGAGTCCTGGAGTGCCAGTGAAAGGGTACAGATAGCTCTCCTGCTCTCATGCCCTTGGAACCAGTTCTCCCAACTTCTTCAGGTACCAAGGGAGGAGGGCATCATTACCCTCACCCCCCACATAACCTCAGGACAGATGAGTGATGGTGCCAATTCTCCCCTGCTCTCATCTTGGGGTACTGCTCCTCATCTGTGTCCCTCCACGATGGCTAGTTCTACTGTGCTACCCAGTCAAGGTACTGCCATTTTCCAAATTACTGTACCCAGCAAGGAACAGGGCCAGCAAACCAGCTCTCATGACCCCAGGGCCAATTCTCCTCACTGTTTCAGGTAGTGAGGGGCAAGTGAGGGATTCCATAACCCCTGAACCTATACCACCCCAAAGCAGTGGAATGATGGGGCCCTTTGGGGCTGGCTTACCCACACCCCTGCCACTAGGGCCAGCTCCACTCTGCTGTTTGGGCAAGATATATGACATGCTCCCTGGAGTGCTGCCTCCAGTGAGAGGTGGGGCCAGTACCCCAGACCACTGCACCTAGGGAGGGACAGGAACAGTTCTGCACAGACCCTGGACATCCATGTGGTACCAGGCAGCTGCCCTGACCAGGAATGTCCCCATGGTCTTTAGTGGTAATATGAGCAATTGACTTCTGTCACTGTGTAGTTCTAGAAATGGCCCTCAGTGGCAACTTAGGCTAGAGCTTTATTATGGCCCCAGGTGGCAAGACTGACCACTCACAATAGGTTACTTCTTTCCACTCTCAATTCTCCAGTTCCATCTCTCTCGATGATGCTCAAGCTGCTCCACTTCTCTATCTCTCCCATCTGTCCACTACATACTTACATACTGTGGCAGCTCCCATTGCAGGCTGGCCATGTGGTATCCTGCAGCAAGTGGGTGTCTCTGCATCACCTGTCGTTTGTCCCAAAAGGGCAGTATGTGGGTGGCATGGCAGTCTACAGATCTCTGTTTTCCTCCTTCTGGATTGTATTTGAGTGGATATGATTTTTAGGTATCCTAGGCATAAAACAGCTTTGCCACCAAGCCAGGCATCAAGCTAGGATGAACACAGAGATGCCATTTACTCTGATCCTGACTAATATAAGAACAACACCACCAACAAGGTATCTCTTTGCCCATTGCCAGGGGGGCTCTTTGATTTTTTATGATCCTAATGAACTTAATTAACCCTACAATGGAAAGTTGAAATACAGACTTGGCTGGCATTAGCAAGATGGAAAGAATAGCCAAACCCCTCTCTAATTAACCTCTTCATACCTAACACTTGATCTTTGGGCTTCTACTTACAGATTAAAAATCCAACAATTTGCTTCATTAGCCCTCTGCTTGGTCGCTTAGTAATAATTGCTCCCTCCACTGATGTGACACTTTGGATTATCATTTTCTCAGACTCTCAATGATGGCCATGATCACACCATCCTATAAAACCTTTGCTTTCATACCCTAATATTCTCAGTGCAGCTACAGGCCCAAGGATCCTCTATAAACACTTTCACACTGATAGCAAGACCTTCATTTTCATTGCCTTTCTGTATTTTTGACAAGCCAGGTAAGCAGTGCCATGTGCATGTGGAAATGTAAAAATGCAGGAAATTCACTGTATGTTCAATGTCCTTTCATCTGGGTTGAGTGCCCTCCCTTCTCTGAATTTTAGCTAGGAACATGGACACTAGCTGAGGCATTTCCATAAGTGCTTGTGACACTGGACAAAGCCAATGTCAGTATCAGCCTTCACTCTGTTTTGCTACTTTATGTAATTTTTCTTGCCCCCTCTCAACCTCCCAGAGGCATTCTGATCATCCTTGCTCTAAGCTGAGTGGCAGTTTTGCCAGGCATCAGCTGGCTTTGCAGTCTGGGACCTTGAGAGGCAAGCGACGGGGGTAGAGATTGGCGATTTCAGCCCAGAGAAACTGTCAACATGTATCAAAAGCATGTCTCATAGTCCAAGTAGTTTCTTCATGTCAGGCCAAGTGTCATCCTAACAGTCAAACTGAGGCAATGGAGACAGACTTTTCCAAAAGAAGGTAAAATTGCTCAAAGATCAGACATGATCGGGCAGACATTGTAAAGAAGGAGAAGAGAACAATTTGTTCCAATAAAGAATTTAATGTGTTATGGTACTGGGTTTGCCAACAGACTGAATACACTGTCATCCCAGCTCTGTAGGTAAAAGAATGATAATCTGTAGTTTTCAACCCATATTGTCTTGACATCAAAGGCATAAGCATTTAATTTTATATCTTCTTGCATTTTTGCCAGAGTCCCATCAGAAGGCAGCAGAGAATGCAATGGTCAGTTGTAGACCCAAGGCAGGTCAGAGGCAGGAAATCTAGGCAACCTGAAGAAATAGTTGCCAAGAATTTAAGCAGAGTCTTCATTCTTTACTGAGGCAGCTGGAAATCCAGGAGAAGCCTGACATCCCTTCTGAGAAACAAATCTTTTGCTATCTCTCTCCATGGCTACTGCAAGCCCCACACCCATCCTTTTCTTCACTCTTGACAATATATAAGCTCCTCACTCTTCTGTCTGATGTCTCTTATCACAATGGAAGTGATTGGTGGTGAATTTAAAACACGGGCATTATCCAATTTCCCATTTACTTGAAATTCTCCACAAGATCCTCTGTCCTTTCTGAGCATAAGCCAGACCCTCGCAGTGACACACAGAGTGGTTAATTATCACCACTGCTACCTTCTACAAGTTGCTTTGCTTCTGTTCCCCCCGTGCCTGCCATGCAGAAAGCACTTAGTAAATGTTTGTTCAGTGAAGAGTAAATGAGGCAGAAGTCCCTTGCAGGTCGGTATGTTAAAATTAATGTAGTTAACTGTTTCTAAAATTATTCTTAATGATCCGTGATTCTAATACCTACACATTTATGGGGTCCTTTGAGTGATGCTGAGATCCATGACTCATTTCTAAAGTAGAAAATGGTAGGAGTGGCTATATAGCTCTTCCATATACATGAATGAGATGGGGCTATTCTTCCCATTCTGCTGTCTCTGGAAAAGTGAATTGCCATGAGATGAGCTGCCTATGGTGGGAAGTCCAGATGCTCAGGAAATGAGGATTCTCTCTATTAGGTAAGAGCAGCCTGCAGCCAATAGCCAACAATAAACTAAAGCCCTAGTTTTCTAATCATAAGGGATAACTGTTTTGACAAAGGCTGGACTAAGTGACCTTAGTATACTGTAATATACTCAGCTAGGTCCTCAGCTAAGCCACTGTTGCTGTTGAGATTGTACATTAATACATCTGCATTGTCATAGTCTCTGCACATGCAGTTGTGTGTTAGAACTGGGTTAAAATGCATGGTCTTAGCAGTGTCTGTGACTGCTTGTCTATAAATGAGCATCTTCATCAAACTCCATCCTCTCTAGTTCTCCACAAACATGCCCATTGAGAAAGAGGAAGTGGAAATAATGGGTTGTCAGCAGGAATAAATGGGGGGGGGGTCTGTAATTCTAAGATATTGTAAACACAAGAAAATTATTTGATCAAGATTCTATTGCAGTTGAATTTTGCAAGGGGAAAGTATAAAATTTTCTGTTTACATGCCTACATACCTGCCCTTGAGGGGTAGGTGTGATATAGAGATATATAGGACACCCTTGACATATAGACATATAGGGTACCCTTGATATAGACATTCCATTTAGGGCTGAACACTGCATAGTCAGCTCTATTTAAGTTTCTACTGACATCTCAATTGCCAAATCCAATCCTATGCCCAGTTAGATTCAAAGATGATGTAATAGACTCTACTTTTAAAAATTATAATTATTAATATATATTGTGAGGATTAATGGGATCCGTGTGAGTTCCTATGTGTGAATATATCACAGATTAATCATACCTTCCTACCATTCTACCCTACCCTCTCTTTCCTCTTTCTTCCTCCTTTACCTACCACCTCCAACCCAGTTCCTTAGTATCCCTCCCTCTCCTACTTTTAGTAGACCTGTATCCTAAAGGAGATGTGCTGGATTCACATATTAAAGGGTATTGTGGATTGCTGTTTATATTTTCTGCTCCCTCAAGAGTGCCTGTGTTTAGGTGCAGTCAGGTGAAATCTTAATTAGTCACTTAAGGCTAGAGCCTGTGATTGGGCAGTGAAAGGGAAGGTGGGGCTGAAAGTTTTAAAGAGGGGACAGAGAGACAGAGAGACAGAGAGAGGAGACAGAGACAGAGACAAGAAAGACAAGATGGTACCTGAAGGAGAGGGTGATTAGCTGGAACCACATGGTCCTAGGAGCCACAAGTAACTGGGGATTTCTTAGACAGTTGAATAATGTAGGGCATATTTATCCAATCTAGGTGTTCAGTTTATATCTATATCCATTGAGTTTTGAGTTCTTTATGTGGGCATTTGGGGGGTTGAGGATTTACTGTTATAAATCTGGCATATAAACAGCAATCCACAACAAAGGGGGACTAAGAAAAAGAAGAATGTGTGTTACTCTTTCCCATATGGGAAGAATGATCCCGAGTACATTTGAATGTCATGGCTAAACATCTATGTAGGGAAGGGAGTCAGCTCAGTGTGCTAAAGCCTGCCTCTTTCCTTCTCTGATGAACTGATCTCTCAAGTGAGATCTTCATTTATGATTTCTCCTCTTTCTCATTTCTTTTGCTTCTTTAATCCTTTGCAGATCTCATAATTTTTGTCCATATAACTTTTCTCATTCATTCATATCAATATAACATATAGTTGGATTGGCCTTGCACCTTCTACATTAGGATCGCTGGGCTAGAAAGTAGTCATGTGTGTTAACTAGCATCTACATCATGCTTACAGAAATTCAAGGCTCAGAACCATCATTCTAGAGGATGCTTACAATCATGACTACATGAAATGTTAAATCATTCTTTGTGATATCTCAATACATGTACTTTCACTGACACATCTTCAGTCTACAACTCTGGTGTAAACAATATGGGATTCCTCCTCTTTGCTTCACCTCTATCTGGGTGATTTGCTCATCCACTTAACAAAGAGTTTTCTGATCCATGACTTCATCTTGGGCTGGAAAACCTTACCTCTCTTTGTAAGGAAGGCATGTGAACAAATAATAAGAACACAGAGTAAGCAAGGCACTGTACCTCCTTCAGACCTCTAAAACTCAGCTGAGGGAGAATTTGACAACCCTGCCTGAGGTAATTCAGCAAGGTTCACAGTAAAAATCTTCTTAACCAGGGACAGAAAGATGAGGGTCAGATATTCATCTGACTGAAAGAGAAGTTGGTAAGGCACAGATTTAGAACATCAGTTTTCAGCCTATAGGTCACAACCCTTTTGGGGAATTAAATGACTCTTTCCCAAGGGTTACCTAAGACCTCAGAAAACACAGATATTTACATTACAATTCATAACTGTAGCAAAACTACGGTCATGAAGTAGCAATGATTTTACAGTGGAAGGGGTCATCACAACACGAGGAACTATATTAAAGGGTCACAGTATTAAAAAGGTTGAAAACCACTGGTTTAGAGATACAAAAGATCACTTGAAGGCTCTAAAAAGAGCTCACCCCTCAGACTTCAAGGTCTGTCAGTACAGGAGTAGAGAGGATATGGAGTCTATATTTCTGAAATATGGTAAACACAAGAAAATGCTTTAATAAAGATTCTCCTGCAGTTGAATTTTGCACAGAGAAAGTATAAAATTTCAGTCTGGGCTTACCCTTTTCCACCATTGGATCTTTCAGTGAAACCTGTCAGCCTCTGAGATCAATATTTCTGTTTCTTCTCCTCAGCCTGTCTCCCAGCTCCTCTTATCAGGATTCTTCAAACAGGGCCTGTATCTTTCTTAGCTCACACCTGTCAGTGTTTGCAATGGAGGGAAGAGAAAACTGCAAAAATTGGGCAGAATATTCAGAGGTGCATTTCTCAGCTCTACATGTTCACACTGGGAAATGTATGTGTATACATGTGTGCACATGTGGATATGTGCCCAAATGAGAAACAAGAAGGAAGGGTCCTGACAGGGAACTGTCATGGTGGGTGACTTTTAGAGCAGGAAGTCCATTTAAAACTCATCTGCTTCTTTCTCGTCTATTGAAGATAATGAAACAGTGACCCAGAGCTGTCAACAATTTTTCAGAGTCATAAAGCAATAATCACATTTGTAGAA